CAATATCCGTTGCTGTCAGCTACAAAGTATTCCTTTGGTGAAGCTGGAGACGATAGTGACCAGGTAAGTAAGCATTGATTTCACTAAGCCATGCCGTGAGATAAAGTGTCAGAAATAGTACTTCTCTCTCTCCTCTCTCTCTCTCTCTCTCTCTCTCTCTATATATATATATATATATATATATATATAAACAGTATATAACTATCAACAGAGAGATTGGGAGAGAACAGGTTATATATATATATATATATATATATATTAGATATAAACAGTAGATAGATGATAGATAGATAGATGAAACAACTGAGATAGACAGATACAGAGATGATTGAACAGGAGGAAGTTACATAGATAGATAGATGATAGATAGATATATATAAACATATATATATATATATATATATATATATATATAGATAGAATAGATAGATAGATAGATAGATATGAACAGACTGAGATAGACAGATACATAGATAGATATGAACAGACTGAGATAGATAGTTACATAGATAGATAGATAGATAGATAGATAGATGATAGATAGATATAAACACACTGAGATAGATAGATACATAGATATGAACAGAATGAGATAGATAGATAGATAGATAGATAGATAGATGGATGAATGAAAAGACTGGATAGATGAGATAGATAGATAGATAGATAGATAGATATGATGATATGAACAGACTGAGATAGATAGATAGATAAATAGATAGATATGGATAGATGATACGAACAGACTGATATAGATAGATAGATAGATAGATAGATACAGATATGAACAGACTGAGATAGATAGATAGATAGATAGATAGATAGATAGATATGAACAGAATGAGATAGATAGAAAGATAGATAGATAGATAGGCATAAATAGACAGAACAGACACTGACATATTAACCACCCACAAATTTTGTAGCCTTATAAGATATCCAGATCTCGCTCAGATGATCTCAAATTTTAACAAAATCTATAAAAAGTTGACTGTCAGGTCTCAATAAGGAACTAACGGAGATGGATCGGTCGTGCCAGTAATAATGATAGGGTGTTGTTAAGATGCCTACCACGTTAACCTGATTTGATACCTTGTGATTTATTTTTCTATGAGGCTATGTGAAAGGACAGATCTATATCCCCCTCTTTCTACAAGCCTAGCGGAACTTAAGCAAAGAATCACTAGAGAATGTTACGCAAGACATGCTACAGCGGCTTTGGCAGGAGCTGGACTATCGACTTGACGTCTGTTGTGTCACAGGTGGAGCGCCTATGCGACATAACTTCTTGTCCGAATTTTGATAAGTAAACATTTTATTGTTCAGTTTCGTTTGTCTAGGACATGTAGTTACTCGGATATTAACATTTTAAATGATGTCAATCTTTTGGACACACTAGACAGACTGAGAGAAATATATAGTTAACTGAAGTACCATCAATTTCGCGTATTGCTTGACGTAGTTGTGACGTAATAGGTAAAGAGTTATTGTAGCTACGATCGTTTAGCCATAAAAGCTATGGGGCATGATCAGGATTTAAAACCAATTTAACGTGGAATGATTATTTGGGTTAGAACAGGGCTCGGCAATCCCCGCCCCTCCCTCTTGTCTTTAATTTCGCTGGGTGTCTATTCATACGTTTCAACGAATCCGGTCAGTACTTAGATGAGGGATCACTTGAGAAAACAACGTATTGTAAACAACCTCTTGCAATCCGAAATATTTTTCAGCTTCAAAATAACCCGAAAGGGGTTGATAAAACGTAAAAAACAAATTAGTCAATCAATCGCTCATCAGAAAAGTCTGTAGGGTGTATCGGTTTTATCGCCAATGACTTGATCATGCGAAAGATGGTAATAGTTTACATGATACTAGTATGACTTTAAAGTAATCTGACATAAAAAAAAAAACTTAGTAGATGCCCGGTAATTGTAGCCTTGTGTCAGACTAAACCAAATTGTGTAAACATCAGCATTACTTCTGTATAATAAGGTCAATCCGTACCGGGTAACCTATAATTGGGTTTGGGGCCGGACAAAGATAAAGCTCAATAAATTTCAGACGATTTTGTGTAAATAAATGGAATAAAGAAAAAATAAGAAAAGACATACTCTGAAAAAGATTTTTGACGGTTAGTTCACGAAATGGAGAACAAACACAAGTATTTCTTTTTGTTTATCAGGTGAACTGCATTTTTTAGGAAATAAATAAATAAACAAACAAACAAACAACCAAATCAATAAACAAATAAACAACCAAATAAATAAATAAATAAACAGGTAAATAAACAGATAAACAAATAAATAAGTAAACAAATAATTAATAAGCAAATAAATATATAAACAAATAAATAGATAAATAAACAAATAAAAAAAATACAAATAAATAAATAAATAAATAAATAAATAAACAAATAAAACAAATAAATAAATAAACAAACATAAAAATAAATAAATAGATAAATAAATAAACAAATAAATAAACAAAAAACCAATAAATACATAAACAAATAAATAAATAAACAAGTAAATAAATAAACAAATAAATATATAAACCAATAAATAAATAGATAAATAAACGAATAAATAAATAGATAAATAAACAAATAAATAAACAAACAAACAAATAAACAAATAAATCAATAAACAAACAAACCAATAAATAAATAAATATATAAATAAACAAATAAATAAATACACAGCTTCGATTTAAAACCACAAATAATACGGCTTGTTTCTTCTGTCTGACTGGAATAGCGAAATTTCTTAAACTTAAATGTCAATTAAAAATGTCCCATAAGAAAAGTATTTCCTCTAAATCTTTGCTCTAAGAAAAGATTTTAATTAACAACCTTCTTGGTCATTTAATTAGCCACCAGTCCAATTAAATTCAGTTACCTACTAGTCATGTAAAACCGGTCCAAAATCTAGGTAGATATAGTCTGAGTTTATACAAGAGAATTACTGATTATTTTTTTAATCATTTTACCGCATGAAATGCAATAAAGCCACTGAGACGCAAGAGGTTACTGAGTGTGAAATAATATAAGAAATAGAAAAAGAAAACAGTATAGGATATTTGTAGAATTCTATTAGTACAATGCAATTTAGTACATCAGTGACATGTTAATCGGCGACTAAACCCGTCACCGTCACTGTTGATAAATGGGGGCAAGGCATTTTTTTTTAAATCATTTCCCACCAATCACGTTAATGAAGATGAAAGGGATTACTGAGTATGAAAGAATATGAGAAAAAAAACTATTAAAGGTAGAAAACAATAAAAGAACAAGAATTAAGATGACAGAAGATAACGATTGAGATTTCATTAAAATTTTTGGAGTCAACTAAAAAGCAAGGAAGTCGGAAGAGAGTTCCACAAGCGAGAAGTATGAGATAAGAAACTGTCAGATTAGAACTTACGTTTACATCTAGCCAGTTCAAATGTAAAATGATGAGACCTAACTGCCAATCTAGTATGCCGTTTAAATTCATAGAGTCCAAGTGCTTAAGTTCCGTCAAAAAAAAATACCAATAAATATGCCTTTGCTTATCATCATTTACATTATTTGCAGGCTATTATCTTTATCTTTGTTGTTAATTATCACAAGGTTAAATAAATTACTTTTCCTTATACTCGTATTTGAAATATACAAAACATGGAAAGAATAATTATCATATCCTTTTTTTCCAATTTATTTACTAATTTACATATTCTGATTAAAATATATTCCTATATAACAACCTCTTTTCTGTCTGTCAGTAAAGTATTGACAAATGACAATCCAACTGGTTCAGAAATATCTAAACTATATTCTATATACAACCGTATTCTCAGATTGATTAGTGTTCTACGGTTAAGTAAATGACCATAAAAATTATTCTCCTTTCCGCATTTTAATAGCAAAAAATCTCTCGCCCTGGCCTTCTTCAGGTGATTCGAATTTCGAACTGAACCCTCTATTACGCTCGGCGGGTTAGATTGTCCTAGTTCCACGTGTCATGCCTCTTCCGGATGTCTCAGTTATCTTCCTTTAAATCAACTTTCGTGCTTGTTTGCTTCTAAAGGGCAACGGATGAATCAAACAGAAATGTGCAGGTCTTTAACCCTAGAACACTAACCATCCATTAAAGATACACCACTATTAACCATGGTTACATACCCGATTAACATATCCGATTTTGAAAATATCAAAAAAAAAAAAAAAAAATGAAATATAAATCTTTATTTGAGATATTTTACATGCAGGCACTTCAAACTTTGTACTTTGAGTTAACATTAATAGGAGCTGAAAAACATTATTTAGGTAAGAAAATCAGGTACTGAAAATTGTAATTAAAAATAGCAAAATTTGCGCTGGGTACTATATACCAATGATTATTGTTCTCGGGTTAATGGCGAAATTTTATTTTCCTAGGAGATTTGAAGTAATATAAATATCAGGTGTGTTATTCTGCTTTCACAATTGAATACATGGTAGATGATACTCAGATTTTGTGGATATGCAGTTTTGTATGGACATAAATACTACAGGCTTTGATATGTGTGTTTTGTTTTTTTAAGTTATATATTGGAGTGCAGTTTGATTTAAGTAATTGAAGGATATTATATGAATTAATGTCATGAAAGTTGATTCTTTGGTGAGCAGTTGATTTTGTTTAATATAATAAATAATAAGTTGAGTTTTTAACGGCATATCTCCTTATGGGTCTGCATAACCATAGAACACTAACCATCAATTAAAGTTACACCATTACTGACCATGGGTATATCATACCCGATTTTGAAAATATCAAAAATAATATTAAATATAAATCTTTATTTGAAATATTTTACATGCATGCACTTCAAACTTTGTACTTTGAGTTAACATTAATAGGAAATGAAAAACATTATTTAGGTAAGAAAATCAGGTACTAAAAAATTGTAATTAAGAATAGGAAAATTTGCGCTGGGTACTATATACCAATAAAATCGTCACAGCTGAATGCTGGCTTTCTTTCCATAAACTAACAATCTTTTCAATAGCCTTTTGCAATTTAAGCCCAGGTTTCCTCACAGCCATGCATTTCGTCGCTATCTTGTTGCAGATGTGTCTCGTTGTCATCCTTTCCTCTTATTCCCATCATCTTTTGCACAAATACAAGCCATTAGGGTGAAATAAGCATAAGCAATTAGTAAATTAGTAATAAGTAAATTTCCTAAAAAACAGAAGTTTCAAATCTGTTACATATCACCCAAATAGTTCAAATATACAGATCAAAATCATTTCTGAATATACTGGATTCCGGATATGAGGTATTCCGGATATAAGGGATTCCGGTTATGGGGGATTTTACTGTGTTTATAATGCACTGCTATAGCAAAATTTGACAACAAAAAAAAAGGAAAAAAACTTTAAATTAACAATATACGTGTTTTTTTTTTATTTTATTTTAACCATTTCGCCTCCAAGTAAGGCTATAAAGCGACTAAGACGCAAGGCGGTAGTGTAAAGTGAAAGAATTCCAGAAAAATCAATATTAAGGAGAGAGGACAATAAAAGAATAGGCTTCAAGGAGAATAAAGATTACGATTGACATTGCATTTAAATTTTTGAAGATCAAACTTGATTGGAATGTTAGAAGTCGGGAAAAAGTTCCGCAAGCGGAAAGTGCGAGAAAAGTATATCCTTGTATTCGTTATCTGATCAAAAGTATCGGGTCTTGTGCTATAAAAAGAAAACTACAACATATATCAATTCGGCACTTAATATCCTTCGAAGTAGTCCCCTTTATGAAGACACACATTTTATCCAGCGTCGTTTCCGTTGATGGAAGCATTTCTGGAACTCTTTTATGGGGATAGCGTGCAACTGTTAGTTGCATTCTTTTGGATTTCCCAGACATCTTGAAATCTTCTAGTGCGATTTAATTTTGAAGAGGAAAAGGCACAATGGGTGAGGGCTGGGGAATATCGTGGTTGCCGAATGGAAAATGTTGTCCTTTGCCAAAAGCTGTTGCGCAAACCATGGTCACTGATGAAAAATCTTTAGTGTAGTAAGGCGACCACACTCTACACACTTTCCTTCCAAGCACTGCTATAAACTACGGAAGTGAGCAAGAACGTTATAACTCAGTGTCTATATGAAACAGACCCCACCGTTAATATTTACCAAGTGGCTTTTCTCTATCTACTTTAGATCCGTTACCATAGCAACAATACCGATACTTGTTGATCAGGCTTCGTATAAAATCATTGCAGTGAATGAAAATTTTGATGTAGTTTCCATCTGAATTTTTGGTATGAGGAGTTATCATTATTTATACTTCCATTCGGTCTCATCGGGTGTATATCTATCTGAGTAACCTACAGGAAATTCTGCCCTTTATTTAATATACGGGGGTAGATTGTTCTTCCATTGCCCATGTCTACGGATATCACATCTAGTTTATATTTTTAATATAGTTCAGTTTAGTATTCGCCTGTTTTCAATAAGTCCAAGCACACACTAATTCGCTCAGGGATTGAACTCACAGTTACTATATCACCAACTACTCGAACCGATGCATTAACTATATCACAAATGTGAAAACGTTGTCTGATCGAGTGTCAAGCAAACAGCCAACATTGTACCAGATGTTTTATTGGTTTGGCCGGTTTAAAGAGCCATATACGCCATATCACACAACACAGCCTTACAGTGACATCTTGTGATATATTGGGATTGGTATAATCGACAACAAAGTGACGACCTACCGCAGTCAATTGCTGATAACTTATGAAGAATTAAGAGGTCGTTTACGAATCTTCAGAGTCTAGGAGATGAAAATAATACAAATCAGCTAAGTGACAATTTCTATTTGTATTAATCCCCCACTACCCTCCTTCTCTCCTTCTCCTTCTCCCTCTCTCTCTCTCTCTCTCTCTCTCTATATATATATATATATATATATATATATATATATATATATATATATATATATAAGTAAACCTAAAGAGCCAGACAAACCTACCTAGGCTCTTTAGGTTTACTTATTTTTCTCTACTTAGCGTATTGAGCACTTTGCTTAATTATTTTTACTTTACACGTGTCGGAGGTTTTTTGTCTTTGGACTCTAGACTTAGATTCTAGACGATTATTTTCGCCGGAAATTCTTAGTTCTTTCTTTTTTTTTTATCCTTTTTTTCCCTTGGGTATTGGTTTGTTCATTTACAAGCTAAAACACCTAAGATTTTGCCGGACGAGTATAGCTGCTTATATTTATAAGATTATTAGTATTTTATATATAAATAGATAGATAGATATAAACAAACTGTATATATATTTTTATGGCAGTTTAGCACGCACGCATGGACACTCCCAGCTGTAAATAGAAGCAGGTACTGCCTTTTGAAGAGGGAAGTTTTCAGCAGTCAGCTCTGACAGTCGGACCGAACATTCTTGCTGTAACACTCTCTTTTTTATATGATTGTATTACTGTTTTTCTGTTAATATTTTCGTTTAACTCAATTCCTCTCTTGTGTTTTTATTTCTGGCCCTAACAAGGCCACAACACGCACACACACACACACACATACACACAACAGGCACACACACAACAGGCGCACACATAGATAGATAGATAGATTGATAGATAGATAGAAGCAGATTGTTATAGATAGATATGAACAGACTTTGTGAGATAGATTGATAATGAGCAGATTGTGATAGATTGATAGATATAAACAATGATAGATAGATAGATAGATAGATAGATAGATAGATAGATGAGGGTTACTTTCAAACTGTCACGTATTTCGTTTCGTACCCCAATTTTTTTTCTAGCACGTCATCAAACCTATATTAAATATCTAAAGTTTACCAAAAACGATTCCTTGAATCAAAACCGGTATCTTCCTTTCGTGGCAGAATATCACAGTTTAGCTAGAAATTAGTGTAAGTTGTCGGAAAAAAAGAAACATTTCTTTGGAATCTTAAATAATGATTCTGTGAAATTGTCCAAATACAATATCTTTCTAAGGATAATTACTAAAAACATTTGCATGAACCTAACAGGAAAGGATTCTGAAACGTTCTTGGCCAGACAATATAGGATTTGTAAAAGTTGTGTGTATTTGGTTATTTGGTGAGTTTTCTGGGTTTAATTCATGTTGAGGATCGAAACATTTCAATAATCTGAATTTTATTAATTTATCGGAAAAAAAAACTAAGAAAGTTAAATACCAGTATAGACTTCTGCCTCCATGACTCCAAAAATTGATGCAAAAAAAAAAAAACAAACAAAAAAACAACAAAACCTTATTAACCTAAATTAATCCCCTCCTTTAAAACTATTGCGTATAAAGAATAATGTAACATTTAGTAATTATGGCTTTCCTAATCACATCGTTTCTGAATAAATAAAATTAATTTCACAGGCAATTAATCCCAGTAACTTGCGTAAAAATCCCGATTTACACCGCAGTGAAAATATTAACTTATTTTACTCTAATTAAATGTACCATAATCTCATGAATAGCAAGAAACAATTAAAATATAATCTAGACACACACACACACACACACACACACACACACACACACACACACACACACACACGCGCGCGCGCGCATACACACTGGGGGAAACAATTATTCGTACATTACAAATGTTTAATTTGTTGTATTTTCCAACGAATGAATAAACACACTTTTCATATAATTAACTGAAGACAGATGCATAATAACTAAATATGCATAAAAAATAGAAAAAAATTTGGTTTAATAGAAATAAATCCCATTTATCAATTTTAATGCGTGAAAAATGTATTTATACAATGCAAATTTCAGACTTAAAAACTTTTAAACTGCTTTAATAATATAGATTATTCAAATGGAATATTCTAGAATATTTCAATGATGTTATCAGTAGTTATTTTTAGCCTAAAAATACAAACAGAACATTGTGTAATTGATATTCGTGCAAGAAGGTTATCATCATGGCAAGAAGTAAAGAAATGACATATTTGCAAAACAAACTGATTTTTAAGCTCTGGAATGAAGGTAAAAGTTACAGGAAAATCTCAGACAACCTGAATATTCCATTTACTATCATTAATTCATTCATAGCAAGGTATTAAAAATTTTTGCTGAAAATAATGTAAATATCCTAAAATGTTTGAGTCAGTCCTCAGATTTAAACCGAATCGAGAATCTGTGGCATTATTTCAAAATTCAAATCCAACCAAGTGCTCCAAGAAACATCCCGGATCTGAAGACCATATCCGAAGAAGAATGGAACAAAATACCAACTAAAATTTGCAAATCATTAATTGAGAATTACAAAAAGAGTTTGGTTGCTGTAGGTGTGAATAATGGCGATTCTACAAAGAATATTTTTATCATTTCAAACGATATTTTTACTGGATATTCGTATTTGAATAGACGCCTCATAGGAATAATCTAAAGCCACACTAATGAAAAGCCACAGAGATGCGAAGTTAAAATTCATTCGTGAACATAAGGATAAGGACAAATCATAATGGGAAAGAGTATTATGGAGAGACGAAACCAAAATTAAGTTGTTTGGATGTAATTCTAAAAATCATGTATGGAGGAAAGATGGCGATGCCTTCAGACAAAAAAACACAGTTCCAACAGTGAAATTTGGTGGTAGCAGAATCATGGTTTGGGGATATTTTTCTGCAAAAGTTACTGTCAACATATCAGTAAACGATGATAGAATGAATGCCGCAGGATATCATAATATTTTGGAAGCAAATTTAATGATTTCGGTTGAAAATCTTAAACTTCCTCCTGATTGGATCTTCCACCAAAATAATGATCCTAAACACATTGCAAAATCTACGAAGATACGGCTTGCTGAAAATAATGTAAATATCCTGAAATGGCCAAGTCAGTCCTCAGATTTAAACCCAATCTGTGGCGTTATTTGAAAATTCAAATCCAATCGAGAGCTCCAACAAACATCCAGGATCTGAAGAACATATGCGAAGAAGAATGGAACAAAATACCAACT